CTCGCGGGTAAGAGCGCGACCGCGGGGCGGCTGGCGTCGCCGGGAAGAGTGGCCTGGCGCAGGGGTGGGCAAAGGGACGCGGACAGAGGATAGTGGCCACAGAGTGATGGGCTTGAGGATGCTGGGCATGAGGTGGGCATGAGAACAAAGGACATGACACAGCAGCACTGGGAGTGGGAGTGAATATGGGCATCAGGAGGGCTGGGTACAGATATGGACTTCGGCGTATGGGAGGTGTAGGCACGGGGCAGGCTTGGGGCATGGGGTGTGGAGCATAAGCATAGGACTTGGGCACGTGTGTTGTAATAGGGCCTTAAGCGTAGCGTGGGCATCAGAGGCACTGGGCACAAGATAGGCATAGGTGAATGGCAGTCGGCATGGGATGGTGGTATAAAGGCGTGGCAGTGAGCATAGGGGCTTGAGGCACGGAGTATGAGAGCCAGAAGTGGGAGCAGATGTGGGACATGAGACAGGCATAGGGACGTGAAAGTGGGTGTAGGACACAGCACACAATGGGGATGTGGGCTTACAGGATGTGGGTTCACAGGACATGGGCATAGGATGTGAGCACAAGGTAGGCACCAGGTGGGACGCCCCATCTTGGCTCGTAGAACTGCGCGCCCACCTGCAGGATGGTCGCCCAGAGCCTGAGTATCAGATCCGACTGTGCTTTGGCGAGGAATACCCGGGGCCCCCGGACCAGCCCGAAGAGCGGCTCATCATGGCCCACGTGAGTCACCTCCCACTCCAGCAGGGAGCCACACACTCCAGTCCCCTCTAAATGGCCCCTTGCTTCTCCCTCCAGTCCCAGCTCCGCCCCTGACCTGCCGTACGACCCTCGGATCTGTAAGACCCTGCGTGTAAAATGCATGTGGGGAGGGGCTGTAACTTCCCACCGGAACAGAGGGGGCGGGTAAAGGAGAGGGTGGCTCACTGCCCCACCCCCACCTCCGCAGGTGGAGCCAGTCTTCGCCCGCGAGCTCCTCCTACATTCGAAGCGCCAAGGCCAGTTGCCTCAGTGGCGGGTCCCCAGCCCCGCATCCCCGACAGCGTCACTCACCTGCTGATACAGCTGAGTCAACCCTAAGCGGCTGCTTCTTCCTGCCGTACCCTCTAAAGTCAGCCCCCCAAAGGGTGCAGACCTCACCTCAGCCATGCCCCAACTGAGCAGGGAACTTGCAGTGTCGCCCCGCCCATCGCCCAGGTAGGTGGGGACAGCGGAAGCCAATCACGGCCCTTCAACTACTTAGCTGCGGAGATGGAGCCCAGCAACTTGGCGCTTAGGCAGACAGCGGAGCAGCTGGGCCTGGGGCCTCAGGCTTGAAAACCAAACTTGACCTTGAGGTTCTAGAAGCAGCAATTAGGGCAGAAACAAGACTTAAGCTTTTTGTTGAGAGCTTGACGTGCCTATAGCGGTTTACCTATAGCATACCTTACCCGCGATTGATCCGTTATAAGGTTTGCTTCAAGCTAGGTTTACCAACAGTTAGATCCTCAGCGTGCTTTAGACTGAGACCAACCAGTAACATAATTGCCTGGCCTCTGAGGGGCTCAGAGTTTCCCACCAGCCACTAGTCTCTCTTCTTTGTGGATGAGTGGGGAGTAGTGAGAGGAGGATCTTCCCAAAACAGAGCACTTGGCCTGAACCCTTGACTTTGGATGCTAACCACCACCACCACCACCAGTGGATACTGTCTTTGGAGAAACTGAGGCAGGCCCCCAAACACAAGCCTATGGCAGAAGCCAAAGTGGGAGCCAAGAGTCCAGCCCCTCCCCAAGCCCCACCAGTCTTTGCAAACTGTAAGTTGTAAGGAGTGTTTGGGAATCAGGAGGGAACCCCTCAACCATGAAGGCTATGACCCTACCTTGTCAATGAAATCACTATTTTCTACCCCAGATATCAGACCTTTTACCTTTTATGATTTCTGACTTTATAAGAATCATCTTACAGATGGCAACATAATAAATCTCTTTTAGTGATACATTTTATGAGGGAAACTATGATTCAACAAAGGACAGGAGTCAATCCAATCACTGTTAAATTCATTCAACAGATGTTTCTTGAGCATCTACTCTGTTCCAGGCAGATGCTGGACACTAGGGATAGAGCAAAACAGCATAGTCCTTGCACTCTTGGGATTCACAGCCTTTTTTCCAGTGGGGGCCCAGAAACTGCCTGTCCTCTACCCCTGCCCCTCTCAGAAGAAGCAGTGTTAAGGAGTTACAGAATCCTGAGTTGAAATCACAGCTTTGTCACTCACTAGCTTGCAAGTCATTTAACTTCTCTGAGCCTCAGATTCCTCAGCTATTCAAAAGAAGCTCTCAAGGCCTCTGATCAGAGTTGGTCTGAGAAGTAAATGTTGAAAGCAGCAGGGAAGCTTGCCTGGCATGGAGAGGGGCACACAGTAGGTGCCTGCTGACCTGGTGACATGTGGGTGGGAGAGCATGAAGAGGCTGCCCTGTCCTTCAGAAGGCTTGACTGTCTGTTCTGGGCTTCGCTATACCCTTAGCCCAAGGCTGAAGCTATTGGGGAGCCTCAGCTCAGGGTGACAGTCCTCAGCCATGCCCAAACCTCTACTCTGTGCTAGGCTCTCAAAGGGCATTGGATTCTGTGTAAGGGAGCCTGTTGACTCCCCACCATGGCCTGGACAGCTGCAGAGTCGTCAGCTCCATTTTAAAGATACGAAACTGAGGCTCAGCCTGGAATTTGGTTGAGAGCCTCTTGGGAGGGTGGGTATCTCTGTCCAGATGTCTGTCCTCCCCGTGCTTGTCACTAGAGGGCGCCAGGGCTCAGCAAACGGGGTTGGGCTGGCCCTCATCACCATCCTAGGGGGCTCCAACCATCCTAGACCCCAGTGCTCGGAGGCCAGGGAATAGTGTGACCTCCAGGGCTCTACACTGCAGGGAGGAGAAAGTAGACTATGGGTCTGGGAGGAGGAGAGGAGAAAAGGAGAATTAGGGGTGGGAATTCGAGAAGCCCCTGAGGCTTTTCTCTCAGGGACTCCCAGTTCTCTAGCTCAGGCACAGATTCTTCTCTCCTCTCCCACAAGTGCGTGAATATGTCTGTGTGTCTGTGTGTCTGTGTGTCTATCTCCCTCTTTCTGTCTCTGTAGATTTCTTTCTTTTTCTCATTCAGTGATTCTAACTTTTTTCTGGACAGTGTGTGTGTACGTGTGGGGCTGGCTCTCTGTGTGTCTCTCTTTTTTCTGTCTCTGCCTCTGTCTTCTCTGTGTGTTCCTGTCTCCCTCTTATTATGTCCCTACCTCTCTTTGTTTCTGTCCCCTTGACTTTTTCACTGTCTCTGCCCATCTCTGCCTCTGTCTCTTTTTGTTTCTGTCTCTGTCTCGCTCAATTTCACATCCTGTCCCTCCTTGGCCACCACCACCCAGCACATATAGGCTGAGGGTCTCAGTCCCTTCCTTCCCATCTCCTCACCCCTGGCAGCTGCTCACAGCTTCCCAGTCCTGGCCTCTCCTGCCCGCCCCTCTTGGGCCCTGAGGAAGGGGGGGGCCAGGGAGGAAGGGAGGGCAGCCTGGCGGGCC